GGGGGGGCTTAATTTGCAAAATGCACAGGTTTTACCTATATGTCGATTTTAACAGTAAACAGAAATTATCCTGGCCATACCATGGTACCACTTCAGATTTCTTAAAATAATACCACTTCAATCTCCGTTAAGAAATATACATGTAAAACCGTTCCAGTTTCGGGAAACGGGAACTAAAGTGGTATGACCTCATGCCACGGTCTTCGGGAGAGGCGAAAACAAGGAACAGTCCAGGGAGGAAGAAAAGGGAAATGCAACGGAAAAGATGGAAGGATGATATCAAATATCTCTGACCTTGCTAGCAAAAAGGGGAAGTGCAGGAAACTTCTTGTCGGAGCAGACCGATCATGATGGTGAAACTGTAGAAACAAGCCCCAAGATGAGTCCTTTATTTTCTGGGTTGTACCCTAAAATTCAGCCCAGGGCCTTTCCAGTAACTATTTTCCGTCAGAACTTTGGGAATTCTTGCTCCATGAGCGAGGGTCAATATACATTGAGATATTGTGGTTTCAATGTAATATATAGATGAATGACAAGAATATTGGCTCTGAAAAATCGGGTGTCCAAGCCCTAAAAACCGCAATAGATGCCTTTAAAATAATGGTTGCGACCTTGTGAATAATTATAAATGTAATGTATGATGCTTTTATGTATTAGTATGACGGTGTCGGCATGGTGGCTTTGAAAAGATGTCCTTATGTTCACCTGCTTCACCATGCCTTTCATGTATGTGTGGAATTGTAATAAATAAATCTATAAGTAAAATAAAGAACTTTGGAATTAAGAAAGCCGAAGAGGGTAGAGAAAATGTTTTGTCAGATCTTTTGTAATGCCTCAATGTTCAAATAACTAGACTAAGGGATAGGTGAGAGAAATTACATGACATAATTTATTGTTATCGTTGCGGGCAATTTATTACTTAGTTTTTTTTTATCGAACCAGGCAACGTAGTTCTGGAAGGAGCTTAATTCATGTAGCAAGATTGTGGTTAACGATACAAACATCTGTGCTACAATGTCACAGCCGTATCTAGAGCGGTATTTTTCCGAAAAAAAAGGGTCCCCAAAAGCGAGGCGTTTTTACTCACACACAATTTTCAAAGCACATAGTGGCTCGGTTTTCTGTTAGCAAAAAGGACCATTAAAAGGGCAGACTCTATATTGTTATTTACCTATTTATTTATCCGAGTCTTATTAGAGTTTGGGACTTTTAACCTTTTTTTCAGCGTATAAACGTGAGACGGTACTGCCTTGTAACATTTTATGGACAATGAGGAATGTTTCATATACACAAGTTGAAGAAAGAAAGTTTGAAACCCACCTTCACAGCAAGATCTGTGAGAAGAACTGGACTGGAATTTCCTCATTAATTATGCAAAATAAGTCCTTATTGTCAAAATTTGCATTTAATTATGTACAACTCTTTCTCAGCTACCTACATACCAAACATGATAAAATATACGTTGTTCCTATCTGGACTTATTGGCTTTTAAAGTTTTTACCAGAAACTAACCTGCAGTTCCATAACAAACTGCTAGAGGGACCAAACTTACACCACTTCTTCCTAACAGGATAAGCTATCTGTCACCAAAAAATCAAGACCATAGCATGTTCAGGACAAAAGATACAAAAACCGGAAATTCTGCTGCAGTACCAAGGTCATCCACCAGGAGGCCTATATTTGACCTTGTTCTTCGTCTTCCTAAGACTTACCGACATATAAAATATCATCACAATCCATAAAGGCGTTCTGAAGTTATGCTGACTACAAATGTGCGGAAACGCGCGCGCACACACACACAACACACACACACATACATACATACATAAACACACACACACAGACGCGTCAAAAACAATACCTCCATTTTTCATGGGGGTAATATTGGATACAAATCAATGGTTGAAATATCAAACTGAATATAACAAACATAAGGTCAACCTACAAATACAGTATTTACACGTTATCAGAATTGTGCCATTTGCCCCCATTTTTGTAATGCGCTGACAGTTTGTCCTTTCTGGAGGCTATAATTTGTTCCGTTTTATAATATAATGTCAAATAGGCCATAAAATCCTTTAACATCAGGTGATTGCCCTTTTGATTAAAGATGAATATTTTGACTAATAATATTATCACATTGTTGAGCACAGGACTCATTTCCATGTCCCCAATAGTTACATGAAATAAATCTATGTTTAGTCTAGTTACATTAAATACATCTATTTTTAATCTCTTTTCGGCTATTCATACCAATTCTTGATTATATTCCAAAATCTATAGACTTTTGGACAATCCCACAGTGCGTGAATGGTGTTTTCTTCTTCGTAACAAGAGAGACATAATGGACTATGCTTGATCTTCCAAATGTGAAGCATCTTGTTTGTTGGTAGAATGTTGTATATTAGTTTTAAGTGAACAAATCTTGCACGGGGGCATATTGTTGCGGTATAGATGAAGTTGAAAACTTGGTCCCATGGAATGGGGGGAGGGCTTAATTTGCAAAATGCACAGGTTTTACATATGTGTCGATTTTAACAGTAAACAGAAATTATCCTGGCCATACCACTTGAGATTCCGTAAAATAATACCACTTCAATCTCCGCCAAGAAGTATACATGTAAAATCGCTCCCGTTTCGGAAAACGGGAACTAATGTGGTATGACCTCATGCCACGGTCTTCGGGACAGGCGAAAACAAGGAACAGTCCAGGGAGGAAGAAAAGGAAAAGGCAACGGAAAAGATGGAAGGATAATATCAAATATCTCTGACCTTGATTGCAAAAAGGGGAAGTGCAGGAAACTTGTTGTCGGAGCGGACCGATCATGATGGTGAAACTGGCGAAGCAAGCCCCAAGATTAGTCCTTTACTTTCTGGGTGGTACCCTAAAATTCAGCCCAGGGCCTTTCCAGTGACTATTTTCCGTCAGAATTTTGGGAATTCTTGCTCCATGAGCGAGGGTCAATATAAATTGAGATATTGTGGTTTCAATGTAATATGTAGATGAATGACAAGAATATTGGCTCTGAAAACTCGTGTGTCCAAGCCCTAAAAACCACACTGGATGCCTTTGAAATAATGGTTGTGAACTTGTGAATAAATGTAATGTATGATGTTTTTATGTATTAGTATGACGGTGTCGGCATGGTGGCTTTGAAAAGATGTCCTTATGTCCACCTGCTTCACCATGCCTTTCATGTATGTGGGGAATTGTAATAAATAAATCTATAAGTAAAATAAAGAACTTTGGAATTGAGAAAGCGGAGAAGGGTGGAGAAAACGTTTTGTCAGATCTTTTGTGGTGCCCCAATGGTCAAATAAGTAGACTAAGGGATAGGTGAGAGAAATTACATGAGGTAATTTATTGTTATCGTTGCGGGCAATTTAGTACTTAGTTGTTTTTTTATCGAACCAGGCAACGTAGTTCTGAAAGGAGCTTAATTCTCGTAGCAAAATTGCGGTTAACGATACCAACATCTGTGCTACAATGTCACAGCCGTATCTAGAGCAGTATTTTTCCGAAAAAAGGGTCCCCAAAATCGAGGCATTTTTACTTACACACAGTTTTCAGACACATAGTGGCTCGGTTTTCTGTTAGGAAAAAGGACCATTAAAAGGGCAGACTCTATATTGTTATTTACCTATTTATCTATCTAAGTCTGATTAGAGTTTGGGACTTTTAAACAACTTTTTTCAGCGTATAAAAGTGAGACGGTACCGCCGTGTTACATTTTATAGACGAGGAGGAATGTTTTAACTAAACAAGTTGAAGAGAAAGAAAGTTTGAAACCCACCTTCACAGCAAGATGAAGTCTGTGAGAAGAGCTTGACTGTGGAGTGTGCAAAGGGTCGGCCGTGTGCTGTCTGAATCACCCGTCTATCTGCGGCCTGCTCGCAAGCCTTAGATACCAAATCTCCAAGCAGATCTTCTACCGGCTACAAGACGGAATCAAAGTAGCAGGACAGTATCCAAATTATACGCCAGCGTTTTGCTGGTGAAAAAAGGATACTGCCTGGACTACACTGAAAAAGGAAAAATAGCCGCCTCAAAATACGTCGAACTAAGTCGGAGCCTAAACCTCTGCCTGTAGAGTATGAATCACCCGGTCTGCTCACAAGACAGACTCGGCATTTCCTGTCTGAAATGAAGCGATAAGGCATCTGGAACTCTAACCGCCGGGCGGCCAATCGTGGATACTGGCGACCAACAAAAAGTCCCCTTGCCCCACCGAATCTGCTTGGAGATTACCTTAAACCAAGGAGCTTCTTGCTTTAACCCTACGGGAATACTCAAATACGTCATTTGAGGAAATAATTCCGTGATCTGCAAGCCCGATCCTGGTTTGTTTAGCAAGTTATCATTTCGTCCTGAGCTGAGTCATACAAGATATCATACAATACACAACGTTGGGGCCTGCATCCCCTTTTTTCTAAGGTGTAAGCAGGCCTTTTTAGTCTTCGTAATCCGAAGGCAGCCTCCCCAAAAAATCAACGTAATTCGTAATAGTACATTAGCTTGTACTGGCATGTACGTGACTGTATTGTTATTACATATTTTAAATACGCCATACTTCATCAAGTGACAGAAATAAATGTACCAAACAACAGACTGGTAGGGAACTGCTTTCTTTATTTGACATTGCAACATGTGTCTTACCAATAAGAACAGGTTGAAAATAAATACGGACTAAAAAAAGCTGTCAAAGGTTTGTTAAACAGTCTTTCATTAAAATGTTTATAAAACTTTTCATCCCAGGAATCCATGCCATTCGTGTCCAACTATACTTCTAACACACAGAAATTCATTCAGTTTGTACTTTGATAAACTCTATAGTACACAGAACACTATACATAGAATTCCAATACCAAATACCCTATAACAATATACACGTCCATGCAATTGCAATCCACTTAAAGATCTGAATAAGATTCTTTTTGTCAACACATTGCACATAAAAATCTTTTTCTTTTTTCATACAATCATGTTGGAAACTTGAGTACAAAACAATTTTATGTTTGAAAACACAGCTTGGGACACATCTCCATGGACACATCTACGGTACAAAATGCTTTACTGAAAATGTTGCAACATTTTTGAGGGATGAAAGTATTGCTGGTCTTTTGTTATTACACATCTGTAACAGTACTAGTTTAGTTTAATATTAAACATCTGTGACAGTACTAGTGTAGTGAGTTGAATATTGACTGTATTGTGGTAAGAGAGTGTTAAGGACTATGATATTATGATATGTGATTTTATAGTACTGTAACTTTTGAGATATTCTTCATAAAAATATGAATAAATAGGGGGTAAAATAAGGTGTTTGTGTGTTACAGTGTTTGAGGTTGTCTAGGGCATGGTATGAATAAGGAAAAAACATGGCAAGTTACAAGAAAACATAAACTTGTGATGAGTTTCAAACTATCTCAAAACTACGGCTGTGAATCAAATAAAATATTTTATCGGGGCTATCGTCAAATTCCCCCCCAATTTTTGTTGTCAGCTCTTTGGCCTTAAAATGAAATTTTCAGTGTAACGTAGAATATAAATCCATTAACTTTATCTGTTTCTTCTGAAAAATGAAACTTGCTTCTTGTCAAAATCTGAGCAACCGACACTCAGTACTTCTTGCACTTTGATAACATGTCACTATGGGTTGAAAATTGTGTGACTTATTCTAAATCTACAACAGAAATCCATGTATGTTACAATGTTCTTGCAACTGAAGCAAAAAAAGCTTTTATATTGTAAATCTTGATGATAAAAGCTTATCTTTTAACTTTTCTTAACTTTTCGTTACATTTGAGAACCGAAGAAAGCGTTTGACTCACTGATATATTGCAAATACGTAGCAGCACAGCTGAACAAGGCATTAATAAGCAAGGGCACAGGTGTACATTATCTAAAACTTCAGGAAACTACATTGTGCATTTCACATAAAGTTATCTCTATGTTAAACTCTGTAAGAAGTACACAAAAATATACAGACTACTACTTTTACATGTACGTTTGGACCACTACACAAGGCTACGGGTGGCAAGGGATAAGGAAGTGTATTTCTGAGGCCAAATTTTCTAGTGGTGGTGGGAGGTACACATCTAGTTCACCAGGTGGAAAGAAAAGTCTTTTTACCACAATCATACTGCAGTTATTCGATCTCTTGGACCTTCTTGGACACCTCTCTTGTGAAGTCGGAGCACTTGGCCTTTCCTCCCAAGTCTCCTGTCAGAGCCTGTGGGATAGAATGTAAAATGTTATTTGATAAACTGTATAAAGGCAGGTTGTACAAGTGTTCTAGCCAGTGTTCTAGCCAGTGTTCTAGCCAGTGTTCTAGCCAGTGCTCTAGCCAGTGTTCTAGCCAGTGTTCTAGCCAGTGTTCTAGCCAGTGCTCTAGCCAATGCTCTAGCCAGTGTTCTAGCCAGTGTTCTAGCCAGTGTTCTAGCCAGTGTCCAACATTTTCCAACATTTCACAAAATTGTCTACAGTTCCAGACAGTTACTTTAACAGTACAACTAGGAAAATCACCATAATTACTATTTACAAAATAAATCCACATCTAACGATTATAAGGCCTAATGTATACCTCATCTAAGGATCCTGGGACAAAGACACTGAACTAATTAACAGACAGATACAAAATAAGCTAACTTAGAGTCAGACCCTTTTTAGGCCAAACCAATTTAATTTGTTGGTTGTCAGCTTTGCCTCATTTTTTTTCTGATTTGAAAAAAAAAAGATTCTGGTTCTGAATCAAGTTCAATCAACTCAAATATGCTAATATTTTGCCCAACAGTTGAGGAAAGTCCTTTCTTCCTAGTTGTTACAGTTTTTCCATCTATCAATCATCGATTCAATGCAGTGGTTTGATTAAAAAGTTGAAAATTCATTGTTTGTATATTAACCCAGTCTTTTGTGTTGACTTCATGGCTTCTATTGTAACATTTGGGGCTATAATAGAATGCCTAGACCTGTTTTTTTTTTCACCCCGTCGCTTCATATTTTTTCAGAAAAAATCTGAGAACGAACAGATTAAATTGGTGTAGCCTTAGTTTAGCGCACGTACCTTTCCTTCCTTGATGGTCTGGAAGGCTGCTGTCTCGATGCGCCTAGCGTGATCGTGGAGACCGAGATGCCTCAGCATCATCACAGCACTGAGTAACAGAGCTGTGGGGTTAGCCAGGTCCTTACCAGCAATGTCAGGGGCTGTACCATGGACCTAAGGAACATACATGTACAATACAGAGTCTTTAAGGAAAACACATCGTAAGGACTTAAAGAAACACACACAGCACTAAGTAACAGGGCCGTGGGGTTAGCCAGGTCCTTACCAGCAATGTCAGGGGCTGTACCATGGACCTAAGGAACATACATGTACAATACAGAGTCTTTAAGGAAAACACATCGTAAGGACTTAAAGAAACACACACAGCACTAAGCACTGAGTAACAGGGACGTGGGGTTAGCCAGGTCCTTATCAGCAATGTCAGGGGCTGTACCATGGACCTAAGGAACATACATGGTCACAACCCGCTGTACGTTCATCTGCGTGCTGTCTACGTGCAAAAATGTGGGCAAACGTAGGGCATCCGTACGTGGTGAGTACCGCCTCCGTACGGAATCCTACGGATTTGGGAGCCCACAGACACGCCGTAGAACTTTAAGTGCATGTAATACTTTTTCTATGTGCAGTCTGCGGATTCATCGAGAACGGGCGGCGCGCGTGCCCCGTACATACTGTACGTAAGAAGCACGTGTGAGTGCGGCCTCTTTACGGTAAAGTTGCAATTGCACAGAGACCGTACGTTATACATTGTAAGCACATACAACTCACCACTTGCGCAACGAACGATGCACGCAACCGCTCACGGCCAGACGTGGCGTGCAGACCACACTCTTACATGTACACCTTGCGCCACCGTGTGAGTGACGTGCGTTGACGCCACTCCTTCCCCACGTTTTCAGAAAAACGTAGCAGACGTAGCCTCCCAATAAAACGTACGGACAAAAAGCATGCACGGCGGGTTGTGACCGAGGCTTAAGGAATACACAGACTTTAAGGAACATACAGAATCTTTTCTGGGGCTGTGCAGAGACAAGCAGAGATGCACAGGTCAAGCAAAGAAGCGCATGTAAGTGTGCACGCACAAATGCACGCATGCACTACAAGGCTGACAGGTTGGCAAGGTCCAAACCAGCAATGAATATGGCTGTCATGAATAGATGCACACAATTTGGGGGTAATGCACAAACTTTCAAGAAATGCACATCAAACTTTCAAGAAATGCACAAAGCTTCAAGACATATTTAGCAGGCAACCCTGACTCAAGGAAACATGCAACTGGAAATATTCACACAGTGGTCGAAATACTTTTTTTCAGTGCTCTGCAATATTGCAGAAGAGTCAAAATTTCGTCCTGCAATTTGGAAAAATACTTTCTGCAAATACACAAGCCCCCATATTACAACCTTCTGAAACCAATAATGCCTATTTTTGCATCATATATATTGTATATATAGCTTTGTAAATCTGTAGCATAACTGAAATTCTTCAAAATATCACTATTTCAAATATGTTTGGACCGTAAAAATTTTATCGGTCCAGTCCAAAAAAAACGAAACGTCGGTGGACCGTTTTTTTGGGCCGGAACAAAAATCCATACTTGTTGTTACTGATGGTCACTACATGCAAGGAAGCCTGCCAGGAAAATCAAAATCCAGCCTTCAAATAAACGAAGTTTACCTTAGTCTCCGTCTCTCTCATTTTGCAACAATATTATCCCGTTTTTTCGGTACCGATAGTCATCTAGAAATCACAAAGCACAAGTTTACGGGCCGTGTTTGGTTCGGATCGAGCCGAAAATCACTGATATTTTACACCACATGGTCACAAATTGTGACGCACGTAAATTTTCACTCCAAATGAGAAATTACCGCCCAACAAAACGGACCATTAGGTTCCCAGTGCTGTATTTCTCTTTTGTTCATGTGATCAACTTGTTTTCTTTCCTTGAATCATGCAAAATACCAAGGAAAAACATCGAAACTTCGGCAAATTATCGCCGAGGCGAGTGTGCTTCTTCGGAGAAGCCATGTTTCCTTTGCCGTGTTGCCTGCTGGGAAATGCTCGGCGGAAACTGCCGAAAATTGCCGAGGCAGTTGTCGGGTCCTCCCGGGTGACGAAATCTAACATCGGAAAATGCCGAGGGCCCATATTTGGTTATCGTCGCCTTTCGTCGCCTTGTCGGAATCGCTCAACTTTGACCCAAAATTCCCTTATATGGGACCATTACAGTCTGCTGGAAAACGCCGGCGGCAGGTTCGTGCGGCGCAGGTTTTCAATCTATTCACAGCGCCGCTACTTTGCTAATATTGAAATCTATTGAATCCGGAGCCTATCTTTTCCTTCTGCAAAATTGCAGATTATAAGATTTTTTCTTCTGCAATCTTGAAAGTCTATCTGCAAATTGCAGACTGCAGACGGGTATTTCGAACACTGTCACATCATCACACACAACCACACTTTCAGGAAATTAGAGAAAAAAATTGTTATACTTCAGAAAACACACAGTTCTAGTACATATGATTAATTAGCACTAAAATGTACTTACAGACTCAAATATGGCCACACCGTCAGCACCAATGTTGCCACTGGGTGTGACTCCAAGTCCACCAATCAGCCCTGCACACAAGTCACTGACATGGGGAAAAAAAGGGGAAAGTTCATTAGAAAACAGAAATTTAGAAAAAGTGTTGGTGGTCAGCTAAAATTTGTGATGACAACAGATATTTGGACATCCGTGAATAGTTTCATCAGGTTGGTAAGACACTGAGTAAAAAGACTTTTTTGCATTCCCAAATGTACAATTACACATATCCAATCACGCATATGGGTAGATAATAAATATTGTATATTTGGGAATGCATCAGCAGTGACACCTGCGCTGCAATGTAATGTGAACCAGTCAGAATTGCCCCGAGGAAGGTGACAGACGGTCACCGAAACGTCGGCATGAATAAACGACTTGGTTGAGTAAAAACAGTCTCTTTACTTAGATATTTGGACAGTATACATTAGTGATGCATACCTAAACCCAATTTTAGGTTCAGGTCCGGATTAAAGTCCAGAGGTTTAGGTTCAGGTACGGACTTGTAAGTCCGGACCTAAACCCATGGCATATACGAAATTGCATGTTGGCAACCTTGCAATGTTGTCTGGTTGAAACTTTGGCCACATAACATGGAGGCCGGTACTTGACGATGCCCGATGGCAATGTTTTCTTCATTTTGCAGCAAAGATTTTACAATGTACAGAAGGTTTTAGGTGGTTTGGAAAGAAAAGGGGTATGTGAAATGGTCTTTTATGGTAATAAGTCCGGACTCGGTTCTTGACTTTTAGGTTTTTTTGGACTCGAACCTAAACATTCTTTCAAGTCCGGATCCAAGTCCAGTGAACTGGTATGCATCACTAGTATACATATTATGCTACTGTAACATAATTGTCATTGATTGTGTGATTAATTAAAAAACAGATAATGATGATGGGTTCTAATCATCTATACCTGAGGATGTCTCCGTACAAGTTGGGCATCACTAGTACATCAAACTGTGTCGGGTCTTGCACCATCTGAGTAGACAGACAAGGGAAAATACAACTTTTTTTCTGGGGACATGGTTTAGCAATAGTCAGCAGTATGCTGTGTTGCCTTGTAGTTAAAAAGAGGCCCTTGTTCAACTTTGAATTCCAGCCTAATATTCAAAAGGAGGTCTATTGCAACACATCAGAATAATGCTAATTGAATGCAAATCACTATCAGAGCAGGCCACCTGATTGGTCAGGAGAACCATGGACAGGGCACCCTGACCTGCCTACACAGCATTTTTTAAAGTCAGCACTTGCTCTAGTCTCCGATTGGACAATCTTAATCAGCGCAATTAATGAAATCCTGTAAGCTGAAAGGAGGATTTCTAAGAGCATCCTGCCCTAACTTACATATAGAGCAAAGAGTAGAGTGCCCCTATTGTGACTGTATACTGTATTAGAGTGGTATAAAAGGAAGTATGGTACCACTAGTTGTTTTTCTGATTAAAAATTTTTTTAAATGACCTGGTCAGACCGGTAAACGTTGTTAAGTTACAGTTTTTCCATCTGAAAATGCATTAGTTTGACCAAAAATTTATAATTCATTGTTTGAATTACAAACCGGCCCGGCATGTTGAATTAATAGCTCTTATCGTAGCTTTTTATGCTAGCATAGGATGCCTTGGCCTAATTTTTTTTGCCCTGTGGCTTCATACAATGACAGGTATTTTTTTAGAAAAAATCCTAGAACCAACAAATGAAATTGGTGAGGCCTAACTGGTGAAGACATTAAAGAGAAGAAAGCAGGATCTTACATTGAGGCAGACCGTGTCCAGGTACATCTCCTCAAACCTGATGTCCTTGTAGTCCTCAGCCACCTCCCGACAACACTTCAGGAACAGGCCATCAGACATGCGCCTGGGGAACAGTCACAACTTATACTGGGATTTCAGTACTACTAAAGGGTTAATGCCCTGACCACAGGTGTACAGTGTATATGGTAAAAGAATCCCTGGTCAGGTGTGATAACCACCGAATAAACCACCGAGTGAAACATGAAACAAGATTGTGTGGACAGAACCAATGGAAAAACAGATCATCTACTACATGTAGGTAATCATCTGCGGTGACCACGTGGCATTAGAAAAGTGCCACTTTTAGTGGGGGTGTCAAAAATTATGTTTTTGTATTTTTCTCTTCAAATTTCATTTACTGCATTTAATTGTGCTGTATTAAAAAGAAAAATATTAAAAACAAGGTCCTTTTTTTAATAGATAAAAATTACAAGTCTTAACACTACTGTTAGTAAGTTACTGTTAGTGTCCTGTCCCCCATATAAGGTACGGTCCAAAAAGTGGGCAGTTATCTGTCGAATAACCGCCCACTTTTTAGGTTATGGCCTGATAACCCATGTGAAATGCAGCCTTCTGATGGGCTATATGATAATATGTCATACATGTACCTGGGCCATGTTAATCAATGCTCGAGACAGGTGTTTAGGCCTGTTTTTCGCATGGGCTTCCAAATGTGCAACAGTGCACTTACACTTTTAGTTACAGTCAGAAATTTGGTGCACAGCTCCAATTTTGGCAGTACAAAATTTACAAAGACAGGGGGTGCTACAGACTTCTCTGCCACCTACATCGTATGATCCATTGCTAACCAAACTACATGTACATGATGTACATGTGTCATCAGATGCGATGTCACAGAAATAGTGGATTGCACTGGAACACTGGAGTCGTACAGTTGAAAATTTGCGTAATTCCACTTTCTTGCGTTTCATAATATCTGTCAACACAGAATCTGATGAACAAGCTAAATTCTAAAATAATTTGAAGTGGATGTGCACTTAGTATCAGTAGTCATGGCCACATTCTCTATTGTGCACACTACAGTCTGGCAGTCTGGGCTAGAAATACTTTTTTGCGAGTTGACAGTGTATCCCAAACTTGTGACTCACATGATGTTAGCCTTGTGTACAGCGGTGACTGTGTCCCTGCCCTGAGCTCGGGCAAAGTCAAAGGCAAACTCCGCCACTCTTCGTGAGGCCGGCTCTGTGATCAGCTTGATGCTCTGCACCACCCCGTCAACTATCTGTTAGAAAATCAGAAAAATGATAAAGAATATAATGATAACCCATTAAATGCATACTACATGTATTAGTTACGTTTACAATGTACATGTACATGTATACCACCAGTAGCTGCCCATATGTTGATCTTGATGAAAGACTATCCAACACAAAACTGTATGCCCTTGTTAACTGATCCAACCATGTACTGTGTCAGTAAACTGTGTCAGTAAAAGCTATATTTGTGCTGTCCTACCATGTACTGTTTACAATCCCATTGTACTTCCCCTCAATGTTGTCTATGATACTGACTGTATGTACTTGCAAACTGTGTCAGTAAAAACTGTATCATTTGTGCTGTCCTACATGTACCATGTATTTAATCCTGCTGTACTCCCTCTTGGAGTTCTCTCTGAAAGTCTGATAGTGACTGTACACTATGTGCTTGTAAACCATGTCAGTAAAAAGATGTATTAATTTTGTGCTGTCCTACCAGTGTTCAATCCTGCTGTACTCCCCCTCAGTGTTGTCCCTGATAGTGACTGTATGTACTCTAAAAAAGCTGTACCACTTGTGCTGTCCTACCATGTGTTCAGTCCCACTGTACTCCCTCTCAGTGTTCTCCCTGATGGTGACTGTATGTAAAGCTGTATTTGTGCTGTCCTACCATGTGTTCAATCCCGCTGTACTCCCCTCAGTGTTTCCCCTGACAGTGACTAATGTAAAGCTGTATTTGTGCTGTCGTACCATGTGTTCAATCCTGCTGTATTCCCCTCAGATAGTGACTGTACGTACTGTAAAAAAGCTGTTACAGTATACCAGTTGTGCTGTCGTACCATGTGTTCAATCCCGCTGTACTCCCCCTCAGTGTTCTCCCTGATGGTGACTAATATGTAAAGCTGTACCGTTTGTGCTGTCCTACCATGTGTTCAATCCCGCTGTACTCCCCCTCAGTGTTCTCCCTGATGGTGACTGTGTGTAAAGCTATATTTGTGCTGTCCTACCATGTGTTCAACCCCGCTGTATTCCCCCTCAGTGTTCTCCCTGATGGTACATGTATTTGTGCTGTCCTATCATATGTTCAATCCTGTTGTACTCCCCCTCGGTGTTCTCCCTGATGGTGACTATGTACCCTAAAAAAGCTGTACCATTTGTGCTGTCCTACCATGTGTTCAATCCCGCTGTACTCCCCCTCAGTGTTCTCCCTGATGGTGACCAGGTCCACGTCAGGGTAGGGAGTCTTGTAGCCCTCGATGGACTTACAGGGGCGCACGTTGGCATACAGCTGGAAGGTCTTCCTCAGGAGCAGGTTCATGGAAGGGTGACCCTTACCAACAGGCGTCTTTAAGGGGCCTGGGAGAAGACACAAGGTGGTCACGGGATATTTGAACAGTGTACAAAATACTTTTTTGAACCAGGTTGCCCCACCTATGTATGATTTACTACTTTCCTTAAATCAAGTAATGTTGCATACATACATGTAAGCCTTTGAGAATATTTCTAACAGCCTCTAGTTAACTGATACTAGTAATAGCGATTAATACTTAAAATTAAAAAGCATCTGACGGATACAGTGGTACAAGCCAAGTGTTTGTGTGTGTGTGGGGGGGGCATTCTTAAAATTCAAGGTTCAAAAATAGGTTGCCCCAAGTAAAATTTGGTTGCCCAGGGCAACTGGGCAACCAGGTATTTTGCACACTGCGAAGGAAATTGTTTTCTACTTTTGGTTAAGAAAACGTGATGGTTTTATGATTCAGTGTGTTATCATAGTTTTTGTTTTTGTTTTAGCATATCTGGTTGAAGACAAATAAAACAAGAAGTTAGTGTTCAGGCTCTTCCATCAGTTTAGAATAATACCAGTTCATGATCAAAGATTCTTGTGCTTTATACATGTAGCAGAGGATGGTTCATGTTGTACATTGTATGTATCACAACAGGCACACTGTTTAGTCACTAAATGTAGGCAAAAATGTTACATAATGCCCCCTTTAACCCTTGTCCTGCTGGCATTTTTTACACAGTATTTTTCAATAATTTCATGTCTTAATTAGTAGGTTGTAGACCCCCAACTTTTTTTTTCCCTGAGGCGGTATAGTTCCTTGCGTTTCACTGCGGTGTGGTGCGTTGCACGAGAAATACCCCCAAATCGTACCTATGGCTATACAGAGTGCTATATACTACATGTATGTTATATCATACCTGGGCCGCGATAACGTTCGATAACGGGTTCCGGACAGGGCCGTACTTTACGGTATGGCCCGGTACGGAACCCATTATCGAACGCTTCCATAGAACGATTCGAACGCGTTTCACCCTAACCGCGTATGCCCCTTTCGAAAATTTGAATACAGAATCCGGACGTTAGAATTGATGTTGTTGCATTTTAGGGTTTAGTGGCACAAACTTTTGGCTCATCTTGCATTGAAAGGCGCGTTTTCTCGGGTATGACATAAATAAAATACAACGCGGTGTATTCCGCATCGCCCTCAGTCCTGGCCCTCCCGTGAGTCGGGCCGATACCTCGGGCAATACAGAATACACCGTGTTGTATTCTATATGACTTGTACTGTATGTGCAGAACAACAATTGTTGGGCTCCACAGGACAAGGGTTAAAGTATATAGGAGTGGTCCTGGCTTACCTTTGAGTCCGATCTTGTTCCTGTTCATGGACTCCTGAGCCTCAGGAGGGATGATGTACTTCCCACCTGGACCCTTGATGGCCGTCACATCTGATGTCTCCCACTTTATAGGAGCCTGGAGAAAAAAATAGGAGACTCACTGATACTGGACTCAGGTCCTTTACTGAATGAATGACGACCTTTATTGCACATCATGCATGCCCATAGCCAGGGGTTCGGAAGAACCCCCCCACAAGGCTCAAAGGTCTACTTTTTGGTCCATTTTTTCTTGAAAATATGGACCAATTTGTGTCACCAGCGAGGCTGGAATCGTAGGGAAACTGCCTACTTTGTCATTGAAAAAAGTTATCTCTGATTTTTTCTTTGAAATCCTCAAAAAAAATGCAGGAAATGCCATTTCAGAAGGTTCATTTTTAAAAATTTACCAGGGGAGCATGCCCCCCGACCCCCCTAGCAACCTCGAGCCTACGGCGCTCGCTGGTCCCTCAAGCAGTGGGAAGAACCACCCCCATTCAAAATCCTGGCTACGGGCATGTCATGAAAGTTCATCTGTGTTGTTACTTTACATGTTTGGAGTTAAAACTTTAGATCCAACACAAAAAATTCTCTCACCTAGACTGACATCACACTTCAAAGAAGCCACGTGACAAGCCTCACTGGGTCAGTCTACTGAGGAAGACCAGAGTGACTGGTCGAAAGCTCTAGGTGAGAGAATGTTTGTGTTGGACCAAAAGTTTTAACTCTAAACCTTTATTGCACATTTTTGCCACACTGGTTTAAGTACAGTTCACAACAAAACATGATGAACAGATACAGACAATTGATACAAAATAAAACTAACCATCATTAAATTTTGATAAATCAACTTTTCCTCGCTTTTCAGTTATACTAGTAGAGATAAAGGAACAGATATGTTTTTTGGTGGAAGGTATGTCTAGATGAATTAGGCATGTAATATTTTCTATAGTGCTTAAGTGTAGGAAGTAAGGAAATAGGTTTTGTACAAACTTAATAGTTTTTGCTTTTGTTACTCTCATTGAGCAAGCAGTCATTATCCTCTACCAGGCTTCAGAAGCAACTGGAAAGAGTAGAAATTGGCCAAATAGAGAGATAACATGCCAGGGGAGTAATATAATGGTCAAAAAAGGAGTACAGTTACACCCATTTTGGGAAACTGTACTCCCTTAGTGGACCAACTCCCCTGGCATGTTATCTCTCTATTTGGCCAATTTCTACTTTTTTCAGCCGCCTATGAAGCCTGGTAGAGGATAATGATTGCCTATTCGGCCAGTTTTTTTAATCTTTCCAGCCATGTTTGAAGCCTGGTATACAGGCTACAGCAATTAAATGTTATACATAATTTGTATATCAGACAGTCCATTTTTCTAAACTTGGCTTTATTTTGGCAATTCAAGAACAATATGGTAGGCTGAGTTTATCATTGTCTAGATGTAGGGTGAATCGACTCTTCTTACTGGTTATTCCATGTAACACAACCAGGTACCGCTGCATGCCTGCAAAGCTGGTGTATTATGCCAGGGGGCAGCTACCACATGTAGTAGTATACACATAAAAAACTTACTGAGGCAGCTGCGAAGATCTCCTGTACGGCTGCTGAGATCTCAGGCCCGATGCCATCACCAGGGATCAGGGTCACTGTTCTAACCTGTTAGGACAGAGGGATTGGCATAATGGTGAACACACTCTACTAGCCAGGGTTCGTCTAGCCTGGTATCCAGTCTTACGTGATTGGGGGTGTTGGGGTGTTCAGGCAGGCTGACTGTCTTCAGGGGCTCTAATAGCTTCCTCCACCCAATGAAACAGGCCGTCCCGGTAGGAGTGTTACGCTAATAACAGATGGTACTATGCTTGGGGATTTGGTTTGCCCCAACATGATCTCCCATTGTAAAAATACACACCGGGAATCCTAGCTGAGGCGGGCGGGACAGAACTCTTACAGCCCTGAGAAAAACCCGAGCCTACCACATAAGACTGGATACCAGGCTAGGGTCTGTCTTTCTGTCATTTGACCTAGTAATTGTCAATTTTACCTAATCCGTCAACAACATTTGATGGACAAAAATTGGCTTGTATTTTAGATAAAGAAAAAGATGTCATTAAACTACCAGTAGTAAGCTTAGTCAAAGACTTTTAAAAAATGCCCACGGACCATCCTAGGATTGTCACCCCACTATATAAACATGTTACAAATTACATGAGACAAAATTGAAATTAAAACTATTCAGACAGGCTAATACATGTACACTGGGTACACTATTACTCTATATAATCTTTTGTTCAAGCAACATAGATCTGACCTTACTGATTAATCTTTTCCGGGAGCTTAAGCCAAAGAAACTTATACAAGTTATAGCAAACATTTGCAATTAAGCCAGCAAACTTACTTAGAAGTTCATATAAAATTTGCATGTGCCTTAGAAAAAGTTAAGTACATTTGTATAAAGCAGAGTGGATTCATTCCTCTAGAAAGCTATCTGACATCTTAAAAGCCTTTAGAAACAATTTAGTACTGATGTAGTGAGTCATGAAGCTTTAACAAGATAAACAATAACATCTTGGGGCAGTGAATCTATGATACGTCTAGTAATATGGAGGAAAAAAGGAAGAAAAAATATCCATACTTACTTCATCCGAATAAAGTCTGGATCCAAAAGGTGTTATTCTTCTCAGACCTTGTGACTGTGAGAAATCATTCAATCAAATATTGTATTTAAAAATACAATATACTAGTATATAAATCGGTCAATGATTAGTAATGATATCTATTCATGTGAAATAGCAATATTGGCATTCCCCACATGCTTTTTCAAGGTTTAATTCCGATGTAACACATACACAGAACAGGCTATTATACAGTCATGTACAATGTATTGTCTTTCCTAACTAGTATCAGATTGTAATTACTTACTGTTGAAATATTTTGACTGGTAGAGGTATACCCTAATCTCCAAGCAGATTCGGTGGGGCAAGGGGACTTTATATTGGCCAGTCCTGTATCCATTGGCCGCCTGTATCCAATGTTCGCCCCACGAATCTGCCACAGAACGGAAGGCTTCAAGCCTTTCAAACCTAATCACTCTGACACTTTTTCATGGGGCGAACGTTGGATACAGGCGGCCAATGGATACAGGACTGGCCAATATAAAGTCCCCTTGCCCCACCGAATCTGCTTGGAGATTAGTATACCCATTCATAAGGCACTTTGAAAGAAGTTAATTGCAGTGAGTGGCCTATTTCAAGCCTATTTCTACTGAATCTGTATCCAAGCATGATTAAACTTTATTAAAAGCAATTTCAAGTTGGATTTTCAAACTCAAAGTCAATTTTCTGGTCATTTTTTAATTTTCAATGTAAGTTGAATCAACCCTCACCCAATACTAATATCTGTGAAGCAAAAATGTGATGGAAAAAATGGAAAACCCATACCATATCAAGTACTACTTAAGAAATACGGGAAGCTCTGCTCTGAATATACATACAATGGGCTGTTTTCTTTATTAGTTAGAGTGTGTCCAAGAAAAACTAGTAATACTTTCAATCACTTGCAAGTGTGCAGACCGCTCTTAAAAAACTATGAGTGGTGTAACGGAACAAAGATTAATAAGAAAGTGTATGACTTCTTTATGGAAAACAAAAGCCTTAAGATAGACCCAGAAAATACCATGTCTTATTGGGAGGATGATTTTAATGCTGTTCTCCCCTGGAGACAAATATTTCAGTTACCTTACAAAATAACTATAGACTCCTCAAGCAGGATGTTCCAATTTAAACTCTTACATAAGTTTCTCGCCACCAACAGAATGCTGTATGTTTGGAATATCAAAAGTATTTCGAAATGTTCTCTGTGTGGGGAAGAGGAAGAAACAAGTAAGCATTTATTTTGGAACTGTCATGTTGTATTTTCATTCTGGAAAAAAGTTCAAGTCTGGTTTAATTCAACAACAGGACACTACTTAGATATTAACAACCCATTGAATGTATTGCTGGGAGACCTTTCAAGTGAAACACCAGTCATTTGTAATGTTATTATTTTATTAGGTAAAATATATATTTATAAAAACCGGGAGTCACCTAATCTATCTATCCATAAATTTATTACCTTCGTTAAGTATGTACATAGACTAGAGAAAAATATTGCGACACTTAAGAACAAAATATCAAAGCACAACAAAAAATGGGAACCTTTTTAACTTACCTTGTAAAAACTGATTGCCACTAAGTCTATTTGTATGTTTAGTGTTTGTATACCTCTTTGTCTTGTATGTGTTTTGTTTATTTGAATAAAGCTTGTTAAAAAAAAATGTGATGTAAAAACGGTTGTTTGTTTCATATCATAGTCTGGTTCTAATTATTTATTGGTGGTACCAAAAAATAATAGCCAGGGATGCCTTTAATAATGTATTTTCTTAGCCATTACAAAACTGTATGAAATGGGACAAAATGATGATGAAAATGTGCTAAGACTAAAAAATAAAAATTCAGAGTCACAAATAATTTTTGGCCGCTCTGAAATAATTTGCAAATGCCTTTGACAAGTATACAACACGTGTATAACGGTGTACGATGAAGGGTGCATGTTCGATTTACCATATCACACACTTTGTAACGTTTTGTGTGTTTCAAAGGCAATCAAATCATATCTTCGTACATAGCAACAATTAAACTGTTTGAAAATGAATCGCGGGACAGTGAAAAATGACAAAATCTGATGAAAATAATTTATAGAGAATCGGTTTCGCAATCGGTGACCAGTGACAAAAAGAACACTTCAATGTCATACCGTCAAAAAACAACAAATAACAATATTACCACTTTCAAGATCAACTGGTATAGGCGGATGTGTTTAAAGATAATAACGGTGTGTTTTGATATCATCTTTATGTACAAAATAGGCAAAAAAACGAGAAAAATGAACGACTTACAAGTGACCTGATCACACCGGCAGCCATGTTGGCGAGATATGACCCTGTGACCTCACATTGGATGATACCAAACTTCGTAGGTGTTACAGACTTTTCAATCGTGATTTAAGATAGATCATATCAATATTTCTCATATTTAAAGTTTAATGAATGGCCTCAAAAAAAATGTATAGAATCTTAAAATACAATAAGGCTATCTTTGACCAATTTTATTATAATATTGAATCTATAAAAAGAAATCTCCCCAATTCCCCTAATGGAATCGTTCAAAAGCCAAAGCGAGGCCGTCCTTGACTTGTCATGTTTTCGAACGGCGGGAAATATGAATTTTAAATTATTAACAAATAATTGTTCTATCCCTTTAAGACGTTTGATATCATGGGTTGTATCTAAGGAATCCGTAAGACAAAAGGCTGCATCTAAGTAGTTGGGGACGTGCATTCAAAGTGATGATAATATGTTAATAGACAAGTTCTAAAAGTTAAGTTAAGGAGCCTTCCCGCGTCAAGTAACGCATAGGGCGGCGCCCATCTCCATTTTCAATAGCCCTGGGCCACACAGCAGTGCAGTCATTACAGAAGGGAGCTAGTCCACTGGTAGTGGTGCACATGGTGTGTGTTCATCTCCTCTTTCCCAAATGCTGAGTGCTATTAAAGCAGAGAAAGCAGTATGTACAACGTTTAATGTCTTTGGTTTTACTCGGCCGGGGATCGAAAATGTTTCTAAAATATGCATTTATTTCAATATCAAAACTGATATGGTGAAAATAAATGTGCCATTCATGGATATAGGTGGAAGAAAAGGTTCCCGGTATCTGTTGATGGAGAGGAGTTTTCTAGGAGGAATGGTCTGTCGCGAGGTGTATGTGAAGTTTTAGTAAACTTTTTACTTTCAATGTTATAAACTTATGATTACTATTCCCTTTTTAATCTTTCATTTGACTCAATACATGCATTTGAATACTACTGTTTTATTGACAGAGTTGGTGCTGTAACCATATGCATGATATGTCTGTTAACGCTCAACACTTGATATCTTGATACTAGTACGAAAACAAGGCAGTTGGAAATGTTTAGTCCGCTACAGAAATTCCCTGAGCAAGATCGTGTCGGCTGCACGTTGCATTGTCTAATGTGTCGGCGACAACAGTACACAGCACGGCCAGGCTGCCGCTTGTAAACAACATACTAGTATCTCCTTCACCGCAGCAACGGGGAATATTCTAACCATTTTGAAATTTACTGGTTCAAGTATGAGTTCCAGATGAGAAATTTTGAGAATAATCGACCCACAAACGTTTGTCCCGACATCATTCACAATGTTCAGTAAAACCTGGTCGCATATGAAAAATACGGTAGTATCAGGGTTGTGCTGGTAAAAAAAAATGGCTATGGAAAGTTACTAGGGATATTTGTTTGATAGCTGGGCGGGTGGACGTCATGCTTCACTATTACCCGACACCGCACAGGTCAATGACCTCGGACGCAGCTCCGCGTAGACGTGCGACCTGCAAGATGACAAATGGCACGCGCGATCGCGGCGTCACTATTGGGGATAAAGGACTAAGGGATCCTAGAGTAAAAGCTGTAAACGATTTAGATGTAGAATTGGCATTTTTTGGACAACGGTGTTTGTCCAAAGTTTTATATTTGGGACACTTTGTGTCGATCGGCCGCACTAGCTAACTGAGCGGGTGGTGCGTAACTGGGGTCTTCTGTGGGGTCAATGACCTGGAATCGGACGCTCCAAGCTTGCCAAAAATGGGGTACCTTGAAACTGATCGCTGTAAACGGGCCACGGCATCCAGACGCGTGTACACGAATATTGTAAACGCGTGTGCACGCATATGTAAACGACTTCTGCACGACTTATAAACTAGATTTGCACGCGTTTTAAACGACCTTAAACGCGGTCTGTACTTTAACAGCTTTCTACCACATAAAAATCGTGACTGTAGCATGTTTAGAACAGGAGATACAAAGCCCGGAAGGTCTAATCTCCAAGCAGATCTTTCGGTGGCAAGACAGTATCCATTGGCCAGAGGAGTGTCCATTAGCCACCGGTGGCTACTGTCTTGCCACCGAAACATCTGCTTAGAGATTGCGGAAGGTCGTCTGCAGTACCAAAAAGCGCCGCTAGGGGGCACCAAAAGTCAAATCAAGTGGCCCGCATACTTCTTCAAAAGAGTAATGTCTCACGGGACGGCATCAGGACCAGGTGGGGATATATATATATATAT